ACAGCACGAAACACTGCAAAAACGCATGATCGCACGGGGCCCCCCAGTGCGCGTCGCCAGTGATTTCCCAGACACTGGCACGTAGCGCAGCGATGCATTTGCATCAAATGCTTTGACCTTATGCAGCAAAGTGGAACGTTGGAGTGCCGTAACATAAGCTGTATGTGCTCCTGTAAAGCTGCAAAAAAAGCAGCACGCTTTTTTTTGTATATGTCTAACACCTGTGCAATGCAAAAAAACATATCCTGGAGAAGTCGTCTGTGTGTATGCGTATTTCCGCAGATTTCGATTTCTAGGTCTACGAAAACTGTGAAGCTGAAATTTTGGTAACTTAGTCCGCCACTATGGTTGGATTCCCGGACAGAAATTGAATTCACTTTCTTTTACTGCTCAAATGGAAGTTAGCGCTAAACACTCGTGAAATCAGTCTTTATGTACCCCGGAATCTCATGCACAGGGGTATAGGATTTTATGATTCTGCAATCGAAGTTACTAAAGAGCTGAAATTTTGGGAGCCCGATCCACGACGCGGGCTAAAATGCATTAGATCAACTTTCAAGCCCCTCTACATCACATTTATAAATACGCAGAAGTTGACACGGATCATTTTGAGGCTTCACAATCAAATTAGCTGGAAAGTTGAGCTTTCCCCGTGTAGGGGCAAACAAGAAATCAATAGCACGTGTAAACACGTGGAATTTGACACAGACAGCTCTGTAACTAGCTATTTAAAAAGCGCATGATCCCGCCGGTCCCCTGTTGCTCTAAAATTTATCTAGAATACTAATGAAGAGGTTGTCCCAGTGCTTACACGGCAACCTGCTGAAAATCGCGTAAGTATGACCTGACCGAATTGGTAGTTTAGTATGAATCTTGAACTATAAAGGGTAATATTTTTTAGGCAGCGGACGCTGGATTTGATGACAAAAATTTCTACGATTTCATGAAAAATCCAGAAAAGAGTGATCGAGTGAAGCTAAAGTCACTGAAAGTATCCGATTGCATGAAACCATTCGAAATGTGGGATAGCAATGAATGCCGTAAAATGTACTGACGTCTGCGCCTTGTAACTCATAAATTTTTTTTTTGGAGAAAATTAACAGTTATTTGAAGCTTTGTGATTTAATTTTGATTAAAGAGACCAGTAAGAGAAAAGTGAGGAAGGCAAGAAAAAGTACAGAGGCAAGACAGCTGATTAATTTGAGGGTCGTTCATGGCTTTCATTTCGCGTCGAACAAAGCTGTGCTAAAATTTGCAAATTTCTGAAAAAAAAATTACAAAATAGCGCCAAGAATTTTGCAGATTGTGCAAAAAGTAGCATACTTTTTAATATGTTCGGCACCAACAAATTTGGTGAGGCTTCATTAGAAATGCGGCAAATCCAAATCTCTGCTTTTCAGTCTGAGAGGCCAGCATCAAAACAGGTTTTCTAGTAAGCTTAGCGCTCTTTTAAGTTAGGAATTTTCAAGTACTGAAGACGCTGGAAATAGTGCGAATTCGCCGATCTCTATGTCGCATCAGAATTCACCGGAGCATACAATAGAAACTGGGCACTGGCTATATTCTGCCCTCTGACGTAATCACTTTTTACAGCAAAATACTCGAACAGGATGGGTGAAAAAGAATGGCTAAAATGTTCTTGGCAAATTTATCACTAGTTTGTTCAGAAATAAGCCATCGAATCTGAAAAAATAAACAATGAAGTTGCTTCCTAGGTCGTGCCTTACGAGTTTGACAGGTCCTCTGCAACAAAACCGCTGCTTTATTAAACAGATCGCTGTAGTGTTTCGTTACGTAACCAAATATGCATTTCACTGTGATGGCTGCTGTTCACAGGGCCGATGCACTGAAGAGGAAGACGTACAAAATGTTAAAAAGGCCGAAGCACATCTCACAAGCAGAAGAGTGGAGTTGGAAGAACTGGACAATCGCACATACACGAGTAAAGAAGTGAACATGTATCGGCATTTTCAGCCGGAAATGTGATAGCAAGCCGAAGGTTTTTTGCCGTATCCCTTTTCCCCCCTTCAAAGTAAATCTCTTTTTATATCACACTGAAAGTTCTGCTTGGAACACAGAAATGGATAACAGCGTCCTAGAATTTCCTGACCCAACTTAACTACTGGTAGCTTTCCGAGAAGTTAGACTTTGCGACCAAGATGACGTCCGCGCTGATCCTGAAAATGTGATATTATTTCGCTAACTGCTACGAAATCCCAGCTAGGATAATAAACGAAGCTTATCGTCTCTGGAATAAATGACAACGGCTTGCTAGTTTCTTTTCAGCAGCACTGTGCTGTAAGAGCGCATACACGTGCAAACGTACATGCATACATACACACACATACATACATACACAGTCACACGCATAGACACGTGAAGTTCCGCTAAAACTTGATGCTCGGCACCTTAAAGCTCGAGCTGAAAGCTTAGCAGTTGTGTTCACATCGTCTGGAGTTTATTGCTCTGTGCGATGTGTATAGTTGTCTGCATTCTGTCAAGTGGCAGCATCCCTGCGTAGCATTTTCAGGATAGGCGCAAATCTGAGATGCACTCTTCGATCGCAGATGTGAAGTTTCTTGTGTTTCTGTGGTAAGCTAACAGCGAGAACTGGAGCTCGAGGGGGAGCATCGGTGCAGTGTAAAGTGGGGATGTGGGCTAAAAATTGTTCCAGTTTGTTCGAGCTAATGCATCCCGAAGCTCAAAGCTAGAGAGACTGAGGAAAGTGCCATGTGTAAACGAGAAGCCGCGAGCTGACTAAGTCAGCCGGTTAAAAGCCATCCTTGCTAGTTTCATCGCACATTCTGTTCTGTGCCAGAGCAGCTGCCCCTTGCTTCCGAGAGCGATATAGCTATGGTAACTTTTCTCTTTTTGAATTTCCTAACTAAATTTTACCATTTTCTACCTTAAACAATAATTTGATAAAATAATCTTAACATCTGAATTTACTAATTCCGCTGATATCCAGTTCGCGTCATAGGAGAACAGGAATAAAAATATAAAAACGGTTAGGTGTGAACTTCATGTTGTTTCAGAAAGTCAGTCTTTTGGTATTCATCCTAGTTTTAAGCTTTCAACAATCCTACTTTTGCTTGAAGAGAGATCGAAGTCGGGTTCCCTAAAAAAAGGTCATTAGTTCCGCACAGAATATGGTCCCGAAATATAAAATATGCGGTATTGAATTTCCATGACAGATTTACTCAACCGATTTAATTTTGTCACAACTCAGATCCCAGTGTTTAGCTTCTTACCAAAGCTAAATGGATTTGAGATAAATTCACTGTATACTTGAATGCAGAAAACAAACCGTGGAATAATAATAAAAATGTTGAGGCCCAGCCCGATTTTTCAGTCAAAAGCGGCGAAAAAGAAGTCAAGCAAAAAGAAGTCTGGATCTGAGGCAGCTCAGTTTGACCAGAAAACAATCCAGGAATTCAAGGAAGCATTTGGCATAATGGACCAAAATAAAGATGGAATAATTGACAAGCAGGATCTAAAAGATCTTTATGCCATGATGGGACAAATTGCTTCCGATGCACAAATTGAAGCAATGATTAAAGAAGCACCAGGGCCAATTAATTTCACGGTCTTTTTGACACTCTTTGGAGAAAGATTAACAGGTAATTCAGTCAAATGATATTCATGCGGAAGCTGCTCCGTTTTAAAAAAAACCTGAGAAAATCTTTTGGTAGATGCCGGTTTGAAAAAAATTTCGCTTAGCAAAACATACAAATATTAACAAAAATCTTTCGAGGAGCGCACCTTATCAAAAATTTCTGTTTCGCAAATTTTTTGTTGTTTGAGAGGTGACGAGGCTGGCAGCAAAATTTATCGGCTACAGATAAAGTGTCAGAAGCATTAATAATTTTTAACCCACGTTATCAAGAAAAAAGAGGTCCTTGCTTTTTATATTTGCCAGGGTAACATTAAGAGGAGAATATGCACTGACTGCAATGCATTTGTCTTTACACCATCCTCACTGTGTGTCCTACACCGTAATTTCAGCTTCACCATGAACAAGGGGAAAGATGCGAGTTAAATACCTCAAAATAAGCTTTTGCAATTTGTGTGCTCTGATCCATGAGAATCAATGAAATCTGAGGAGATCCGTGCTTCAGCACTTTGCTCATGCGCGATATTTTAAATTTTTGGAAATTTGATCTACTGAATATTCAGAACATAAAATACAGCTGTTGACTGCAGGAACTGACCCCGAAGCAACGATAGTCGGCGCGTTCCAAATGTTTGATAAAAAAGAGTGTGGAAAGATATCGGAAGAAGAGCTGTTGAAAATTCTACAAAATAAGAGAGGAGAACCATTCGACGATGAAGAAATTAAGGCGATGTATAAGGTAAAATCACTTTGTTTTGCTGCTGTTTGATTTTCAGAACATGATACCTCCACGTACCTTCAGGGGGGTGAAGGCCCCAACTTCATAAACTCGGTAGCTGAATTTTTACCAGTAACAATTATCTGTTATCAGTGCGGTCAATGTTATTAGTCATTCCTCTTCCAGTGACTGTTCTTTACGTGAAAAATGCTACATATGTTATTGCTGATATCAAAATGTCTTGACTGATGACATTTTGTGTTTGCATTAAGGAGCTAATCAAAAAAAAAAAATCTACCCATGTTCGAGCAAGAAAATGACACCACAGAACATTACGCGATAAATCTAAATTTAGTTTCACATGACTGCTGCAACAAATAATCTGCGCTTGTAATGCATTTTCGCATAATGATGCAGTACAAGAAAGCATATCGTCGAGTGGCTGTCTATGTGTTCGTGTGTTTTTATGCATTTTTTGTAGCTATACAATGCAAAAACGCATACTGACCAGGGGTTGTCTGTGTGTCCGTGTGTCTGTGTGTGTGCCTGTCACGCACTTTGGTCTCAAGACTTATAAAAGCTGCGAGGCTGAAATTTCGGGAACTTAATCTATATGCACGTACCGGCCCCAATCCACAAAATGGGCGCCATCACCCGCGTGGCACCCGCGTACGGGCCCGCCAAAGTTTTTTGGGGTAAGTTTATAACTCGGGGATCTGAGAAGCTAGAACACTGAAATCTTAATGGGATGTTCCTCGTTCAAGTAGGTGTTAAAGCACTGAAACCCATCCCCCGGGCAAGCGTGGTACCCGCGTACAGACCCCTCCAAAATTTTTTCGGGTAAGTTCATAACTCGGGGATCTGAGAAGCTAGAACGCTGAAATCTTAGCGCAATGTCCCCCGTCCAAGTAGGTATCAACAAGTTCAAACCCTGACCACGAGTAAGCGTGGTACCTACGTACGGGCCCTTGAAAGTTTCTTCCGGGCAAGTTGCTAACTCGGGAAAGTGAAAAGCTAGAAGATTGGGGTTTTGAAGAGATGTTTCCTGGCAGCCCTGGCGGCCAGTCTGAAATTCTACCCAGGTACGCTCCCTCCCCCAGCTAGAAGCATCTGCCAGAAAAACCAGTGCCGTTAGCGACAAAAATCTGCGGGGAGCTATGCAA